TCTCCAGCTGCCAATCCAGGTCAAGAAGCTGGGCTACGTCGCCTCTTCCAGCCGCGCCAGCACGGCTTTCCGCTCGGCAGCAAGAGCCAGGCAGGTCATGGGCTTGCCGTAGATTCGGAACCTCGGCCACGAGCTGGCAGGCCCCAAGGTGAGACGGCAACAAGAGGCAGCACGACTACAGCAGCTTCGAGGACGGGTGCGACGCTCCCTCATACTCAAGAAAGCAGTCGGGGCCAGCCGCATCACGCGCATCCAGGCCGCTGGGATCACGCCATCCGTCACGCACGGGGCCTCGGTCAGCGGCGTCGCAGACGCGGTGCTCAAGCCGATCCAATCGGTTGCCGCGCTACTGGCAGGAGTGCGCCCGACGGGTAGCATATGCATGGGCATGCTCATGCAAGACCAGCCATTCTACGACCCACTGTATGCGGCGACCACCAGCATCGTTTTCATGTATGCAAGCATGTTGTGGGAAGGTCGGGTGGAAATGCAAGCTCTCAGTGGCACGTGGGACTTCGTCAACGGGCAGATGAGCGCACAGCCCAGCTGGAGCCGTGTGCGCGGCCCCATCGGGGCCCTGTGGCTCACCTTGCATCGGATCGGTTGGCGATTTAGTTCGGCGACCACCTTCGTGTCCGACCCTGGCACCGTCCTCGACCTGAATCAGATGGCGCCTAGAGATGTTCGCGACCACGTCGTCCAAGGTGTCACGCGCTGGCTGCTAGCGCGCGCAGAGAACCACATAGAGATTCACAATGGCGAGCGGTTCTGGCATCGCGGCATCAGGCGGTGCGTGGAGAAGGCGGTTCGGGACCCTTCCGAACGAGGTTCGCTGCAGTGCGTCTGGACTGATGCGATGTGGCCTCGGCAGAAAAAGTCTGAGAAGCGTTTGGTTGACAGTGGTAGGTGTCTAGCCTGCGGTGCTGGACGTGAGACGAATGGCCATCGTCTGTACAAATGCCCCGCCCTCCTGGGCCCTGCCCTTCACGAGTCGGACCCGCCCGCAGTGATTCTTAAGACCCGTGAGCGGCTTGATCGCCTTGCGTGGGAGTCGGCCCAGGATGACCCACATGAGGCCTTGCAGTTTGCCTATGCTATCCCGCTGCAGCCTCCCGCCTCTGAGATGCCTCCCATGTGCCCCGATTTCGTGCACCATTGGGGAGACGCCGAGATTCCGTGGGGCGGTAGGTTGTACATCGATGGCGGCGGTTTTGGCATGGACACTCCTGAGATCGCTCGATGCTCCTGGGCCGTAGTACAGTTGCGAGACGACGGCTGGCCCTGTAAGGCGATTTTCGGCTCTCTCCCAGGTTTGCAGACAGTGGCGAGGGCTGAGAGATATGCTGGACTCGTCGCCACCTGCCTTTCCCCACAGGTTTCGTGTTTGATTTCTGATCATTTAAGTTTCGTGGAGGAAGGGCAACGGTGGAGCCCTGGGGACGCGTCCGCTTCGGCCCGTCACGCTGCACTCTGGAGAGCGCTACGCGCCACTGTGGCCCGCCAAGACAGGAGGCCGCCCTCGTTTGGATGGATTCCCTCGCATAAATCCCTGGACCAGGCTATTGAGCTTAATCTTGATCTCCAGGATTGGCTTGGAAATAGCTGGGCTGATCTGTTTGCTAGTGTTGCCCTTGACTTAGCCAGCCCAGCTAAAGGCCTCGTTCGTAACATCCAGATTCGTATGGAAGAGGCCTGCCTTAATGCTAAATTCGTGGCCTGGGCGGCTGCTCGTGTGGCTAAATCGGGAGTTTGGGATCCCACGGAGGCCGACCCGAGGCCCCCCCCGCCCGTCACGGCGCCCAGGCTGCTTGCGTTGGTGGCACGCGAGTTTGCAGAGCTCCCTGGAGGAGGGGTCCGTTGCCTGGCTTGTAACCGTGTTGCACGCACGGCAGAGACCAGACGGTGCCTTGAATCCTACCCATGCGTGCCGTCTCACCTGGCCAGGCTCCGTGCCCAGGCGGCCCTTCAGGCCGAAGGGGTCAGCCCTGCTCCTCCTCGCCCCTCCCCTGCGGTCGCCCTTGCCCTGGCCGCCGCTGCCGCCGCCGCCGCTGCGTCGACCCCGTCAGAAAGAGTTGAGCCTGACCCTGGTGGGGGAGGCAGCCGCTCGCCGAGGCGGCAAGTTGACGGCCCTTCCCCCTCGGAGGCTCCGCTCAGGTCTCGCAGCAGGCTCGAAGGCACGCAATCGGCCCATGCGTTTTTCTGGCTGGATCGAGCCGCTCGCGTTCGTGCTGTGGTCACCGAGCCCTCGACCCTAATCGGAGGCATGAGGGCTTCGGCCGACGAGGCCACCCCCTCAGTGCGCCCCGAGGCTGGCCTTTCCGACGAGGATCGTCGGGATCGTATCGCTGCCCGTCTCCTCAGTGCTGCTGGGGGCACACCTGCTGCCACCGCCTCTGCCCACCTGCCCTCCACCCCTGTGTCCCTCTCGGGAGGTTTGCCGGAGGCCCCCCTGGAGGACCTTGGGGAAGGAGAAGGCAGGGAGGGCGTGACGACGTGCGTGGAGGTTGGGTGGGTGGGGGACGGTCCGATGCGAAAGTGGGCGAGCAGCCCCACCCCGCCGACGGCGGAGCTGGCGGCGCCCCCGCCACCGACGGCGCCCCCTGCGGCGCCGAGAGCCCCGCGGGTGCGGGGCCAGGCAGCCCGCGGCCGTGCTGCCGTCGCCGCGGCCGCCGAGGAGGGAGGCGGGGGCACGGATGGGGGGACGGGTGTCGTCCACGAGCGGGGACATGAGCTTGTTTCCGCTCCGCCTTTCACCGTCTGTCGGAGATGCGGCTGTCTTTCGGGCAAGCAGCAGGCGAGAGGGCTGCTGGTCGAGTGCACGGGACCTTTGCCTGCACCGAGCCAGTGCACCCCCCCTGCCCTCCGTGAGAGGGCTCGCCGTCGGGACAGGCTTCTTAAAGGCCTGAATCCTTACACGGGCAATGCCCTGTAGGTTTCCTGTCGTGGTGAGAGTATTTTCTCGTCCTCGACCCTGGCCTCCGAGGGGTTCGGTGGCGCCTTGCTTCGGTAATCTGGGGATTGCCTGCTTTGTGTTTCTGGTCCTGCCCAGAGGCTCCTAAGCGGCCCATGTGGGCCCGTTGGCACAGGCCACGGTCAGTTGCTCTAATGCTGCTGGACGTGCGCTCTTGATGGCCCGACACACACACACACACACACATCACACGTTTCGCGGCCCCACAAGGAGCTCCACCGAATGCCCCAGCGGCAGCGCACGCGTGGCGCGCCCGCACCCCCTGCGGCACCCCCCTCACACGTTACGCTGCCCCAGAGGGGGCTCCACCGAAGACCCCAGCCGGGTGGACCCTGTAAGGGGCCACTTGCGAATCCGACCCCTACCCCCCACGATTTCAGAGGGGGAGGGTGGGGTTCACTTCGCTCGGGAGTTTCTGAATTCAACCAAACCCTCCCTTCCCCCTCAGAAATCGTGGGGGGTAGGGGTAGGGTTCGCAAGTGGCCCCCTAGCCTGGGAGGGATTCACCGGTTTTGACAGGACTTGGCTCCATCCCCCCCCCCCTCCTGGCCGATTTCCTGGGGTCCCAGCCAGTTCAGACCCAGGGCCGCCTCCAAGCGCCATCCTTCGCGACGGGCCCCGTCTGCGTGCAGAGTCGGTGCGCACTGTCGCCAAGTCGAGCGGCACTGGCGTCATGTTTAGAGCGTAGACCACTGAAGCTTCACCTCGTATTGGTTTTGATGTATATCGGCGACTAGCGCGCAATAGCGCTCAATAGCGCCAAATAGCGCCCAACAGCCCAGTAGCGCCGACCCAAAAAGCGACATGTGAGGGAGGTGCGTCATGCACGCTTTGCGCGAGACTGGGCGGGCCACATGGGGACGACCAGAAGGTTCCGTGGGTTGCGTTCCAGCCGTGTGCAAGGGGGTACTTCCCCCGATCCGTGGATCTGGCGCCCGCGAGCCAGATGCACGGATCCCTAACCTGAAGTCGGGCCTGTCCCCCTACAGGGGGTATTTGCGACGAAAAATAAAAAATACCCCAAACAATCAATCAAAACATTGTCCAACAATAGTCTGGGGACTATTGTTGGAGTCTTTTGTTGATCTTTTTGGAGTATGTTTGGGGATATTTGTTTTTATTCTCTTGCACAGCTGTGCTCTAGAGCTCGGACCTCTTTATTTTCGTCGTCGTTCGTTCGTTCGTTCGTCATTCGTCCTCCCCCCCCACCCCCCGGCCACAGAAGGAAACTCCTGGAGGAAGGAGGCGAATGCCTCCTGTCCCTCTCAGCTCCTTGGTGCAAGAGCTAGGGCACGCGTGCCACTTGTTTTTCGTCGAAAATCCCCCTGTAGGGGGGACAGGCCCGACTCAAGCCTGACCCATGTCAGCGTGTGCTCGCCCAGGGCCTTCGGGACCGGGACGGCGAGCCAGCGGCCGGCCCGCCGGGCGCTGCCGGGTCGAACAAGATTCGGGAGGGGAAAAAACACACATACACAATGAATCGTCGATCCCCAAGAAAATATGAGATAATATGGGAATTGGGGGGGGGAAGACAAAACCCATAACATATGGGAAAATATGGGGAATCTTTTCATCTGTGTGTATTCATTTGTGTGTGTGTGTGTGTGTGTCCCAGGGCCCCTTCAGACACATGGGGTGGTCGGAGGTCCTGGGGATCGGACACGTCGTCCGCCTCGGACCAGCGGGAGCCCAGGGGCTGGCGGAGGCTGCCAACGGCCTGGATTCACCTTCTTTGGGTGGAGAGCTTCCACGTCTACACCGCGATCCTTGCGTGGGTCAGCCTGGTAAACAAGATAAATGTCGGATCGGCCATGCCGGGGGTTCCGATGCTCGTGAAGAATCTGACTGCGTATTTCCAGAGCTTGTTTTTCTTCGGCTCGACGGAGTCCGTGACGATTCACCTCGACAATATTACTGACGATTTCTTCCTCCAGGATGCTGGTGGATCTATCACAGTTGATTGTTCCACGATCAGTCTTCCAGCAACATCTCTTCAGAGCTTAGCCAATTGGATCTGGGTCCCGCTAATATGGAGTGTGCCAGTTGCAGGGGGCTTGGTGATGCTGTTTATCATCCAAGACGGTTTCGCCCTTTGCCGCCAGTCCCCTCTTGCTGGACTCGTGGCTTGAGGGCCGTGCTTAGGAAGTCTGAGCGCTCGGCGTCGGTCGTCGTGTTCTAGGTGTGGCGTCACGTCTTGTTTTGCGAGGCTGATGGGTTCGTGGCTTGGCGGCCGTCAGGCTGGAAGCTTTAATGAGCCTCGTCGGGGTTGGTTTTTGTTTGTGTGCGCGCCATTTTGTGTGCTTCAGCCTGATGCTGCTTGGGGCCATTGTTCGATCATCTTGTGCCTCTTCTGAAAATCGTCGTGGGGACTCTTGAGGGCACATTCTGGATGTGGCAATAATCGCCCCCCCCCCTCCTCCTGGATCCGACGGGTGGTGGAGTGGGTGGACACTTGCTGCCGGAACGGGCCCGGGTGGACGGGGGCGTTGGAGGAGGAGGAGGAGGAGGAGGAGGAGGAGGAGGAGGAGGAGGAGGTAAAGGGAGGGGGAGGAAGAGGGGCAGGAGGAGGAGAAGGGAGGGGGGGGACTAGGCAAGCTCCGTTGGAAGGTTCACCCCATCCAGAGTTGCGCTCTTGAGCCCCAGAACTGTCGAGCTTCCTGGGTGCCTCTCGGGGCGCTCCTTGTGCGCTCTGGCCCCCTCTGACGGCCCTCCTGTGCCCTCTTCGAGTTTCTCCGAGACCTAGTCGGACGCACGGGCCAGGACTCTTCGAGTTCTTGGAAGCCTTCTCCGGCTCGCTCGGGTCACTGGAGGCCTTCTCGGGCTATCTTGGCGTCATCCTCTCTGAATAGAACTTTCTCAAGCGCTAGGCGAAGTTCAGTAGCGTTATCGTCCTCTGGCGGACTCAGGCTGAACCCTGAAAAAGGCTGCGGAGCAGGGAGCAAGACTTTGGCGAGAAAACCCCCCCGTGACTCCGCGACCTCTGAGGCATGCCAGAAGCGTTCGAGCCAGATAGGCCTCTGAGGGGCCGCCGCCAGAGGCTTCAGGGCTACTTGGGAACAGTGTGGGGGCCACTCGGGGGCCTCTCGTGGCCATCCCAGGGCCATCTTGGACCCCCTTACCTCGCTTGTGTCGGGGGCGTCGAAGAGGGGGATGAGGACTAGGTGTGCGTGTGGATTTTTGATGGCTGGGGCACCGAAATCTCCCAGATGTCATGCCCCCAACCCTGTTTCTTGTTATTATATTCCTCTTACTGTATGAATGCTGTCGTACTTCTTCTTCTTCTTTTCATACGCCCCCTGCCCTCCCCCTCGTCCGCGTACGTGCCTCTGGCCAGGATGCGCTAATCCCTCTCTTCCCGTCTCCCTGTTTGGCGTATCCGATTGGGGGCGTTCAGGTCAACGTTCGACCAACATTGCATGTTCGCATGTTTTTGCACTCTGCAGAGCAATGTAGATGATATTGGTTCTTATCGTTGGAGCCTTCAAGGCGCGAGACATGAGCGGTTGACGTGCGTTGCTGTTCTCTGGGCGCCATGCTTCAAATGTTACGCATTGAATCTACCAGATGCTGATGCTATACGGTCAGAGGATGGTAATGCGGCGGCTCCTAGCCATGGGGTTTCTGCCTTCAGAATCGATGACATCTTGCCTGTCAGAAGTAAACACCTCAGGAGCTGGGACTAGTGGCCCCCGTGGACTAGTACACCAAGCATTCGTGATGACCCCTTCGTAGGAAGCCGAAGCAGGAAACATTCAAGCGCACATGATGCTTGATGAGAAACTTATGCTTCGCAGCCGGGTGACCCCTCAACGCGGGCCAACGGATTTACAGTATGTACATTGCGGGAATCTGGAGCTTTGAGAGTCTTGCTTACCTCCGATTCACTTGGAAACTGTACAAGACGCCTGGTTTCAGATATGGTGTGGGTCTCATGTGTATCGGCCCTGTGCTCTTGCCTTTGCTGTGGATGTCTCAAATTTTGCTGTTCGGTCTGCAGAGCCAGTGGTCTGTACTGGGAGAGAGCGTTCCCAGTGGATTCCTACTGCTGTTTTCGTTGGACTTCCTGGCATTTCCCACGACGCCAGTTCACGAGTGGCCGAGAAACAGCGAGCAGCTGGCCAGCACCCAGTTCAGGCGCTCCGTGCTGCATCTGTTCCTGGGGGGCAACAACAATTTTGGGGTGAAGCTGATGGATGCGCTCTGGACGGCCCAGCACGGCGACCTCTCGAGGCTCGAGCGCTACCTGGCGGACCCCGGGCAGGCGCGCGCCGTGCTGGAGCTGTGCTGCCTGGAGCAGCAGGCGGAGGCCGAGAAGAAGCACAGGCTCTCGCGCCGCAAGGGAGCGGCTGGCACGGAGGACGGCGACGAGCCGGCCGAGTGATGAGCTCACCGGGCTCCGGACCCGCACTGCTCTGTGGGCGATGTCGCGGGCGGGGCGGAAAGGGCCGCCCTGCTTCTCGAGCTCCTCTGGTGCCGATTGCCGCCCCTGCTCTGCCGTCGCCGCTGCCGCCGCACGTTTGCGGACCTCGCCGTCTTACTTTTCCGAGGCGGGCAGTTCCGCGTTTCATTGTCGCATCTTTTTGGTGCGCATGCCCCACCAAATCTTGAGCAGGAGCAGGGGCCTGCGCGTCCAGGTTTGGTCCCCCGCGGCCCCGGAGAAGCCGCGCACCGAAGGTCACTCTTACCCAGGGTCACTCTTGCGTGTCGCCGAAGGTATACCGACACACCCCTTCCCTCGCCTCGTGTGCTGGTGTGCGCCTCTTCGTGCCTCCCGGGAGGCCCCCGTCGCCGCGGCCGGATTCGCCTCGCAGTCCTGAGCAGAGAGAGCACAGCGGGAGAGGTCCGGGAAGCAGCGGTGTATCGGTACCCGTTGATGTCCACAGCTTGCTCCTCCGCAGAAGGGCACTTGCACACCGCCACCGCGTGTGGCCAGGGCCGTACCCTGGGCCCCAGGGCGGCAGCGACCTCCTGGCCGAGGCCAGGGGGGGCGCTCACGCCGTGCCAGGGCCGAGGGATGGCACTGGCGGTGCGCAGGTGCCTCCTGCGCAGCCGCGCGGCTTGGGCAGGAGGAGGTGCGGACCATCCGCTGTCAGCTGTGCCGGGCCATGCTCCGCTCCAGTCGCCCTCCTCGCTCCCCTCCCCAGACGCCCGGTTTTGCGAGCCTGCCACGGCGCACAGCCCTTGAGCTCTCGGCCGCATCCTCGGGACTGGCCTTTCGCTCCTGGAGTGCTTGTTTGACGGCCCCAGGGCCCCAGGCTGGCCTCCAGATGTCAAGCTCGAAAGCTTCTTGCCGGTTCTTCCAGCGACGCTCGGATGTCTTCAGGGGCAACGCTAGGGGGGGAGGCTAGGCTCAAGGGGGGATGCATCGGTGTCCCGCGTGTGTGTCCCCCCTTCCCCTGGGGAGGAGGAGGAGGAGGAGGAGGAGGAGGAGGAGGAGGAGGAGGAGGAGGAGGGAGGGGAGGAGGAGGAGGAGGCGGAGGAGGAGGAGGAGGAAGGAGGAGGAGGAGGAGGAGGAGGAGGAGGAGGAGGAGGAGGAGGAGGATGGGGGGGATGCATCGGCCCCCATTGACGCTCTCCCGCGTGCGTGTCCCCCCTTCCCCTGGGGAAATCGGCCCCCAGCCCTCTCCCACGGTGCGTTTCTGCCGGAGCTGTCTGGGAGGAGCCTAGCCGTGGCGGTGAGGACGGTCGGTGAAGCGAAACAAGATTCAGTTAATTTGGGCAAGTCTCCCTCCTCGATCTTCGGCCCTCCTCATCGCTCGTGTTCCTCCCACCTCCTCCTCCTCCTCCTCCTCCTCCTCCTCCTCCTCCTCCTCCTCCTCCTCTTTTTCCTGCTTCCCTCCCTCCTTCCTTCCCTCCCTTCTCCCTCACGGAACGGAAGGAGGCGCCCCCCGCCCCCCTGCCAGGAGCGGGGCGGGAACCCTGGGGCCCAGCGTGAGGGCCTGCCGCTGGCGGCCGTTCGGGCAGGCCCACAGCGCCCCCTCCTGTCGCCCTCCGTGCCTTCGGGGGTGGCGGTGGGAGGACGCCGCGAAGGGGAGGAGGGAAAGGAGGAGGAGGAGGAGGAGGAGGAGGAGGAGGAGGAGGAGGAGGAGGAGGAGGAGGAGGAGGAGGAGGAGAAGGAGGAGGAGGAGGAGATTTGGAGGAGGAGGACGACGACGAGGAGGAGGAGGGGAGATTAGGAGGAGGAGGAGGAGGAGGAGGAGGAGGAGGAGGAGGAGGAGGAGGA